AGCAGAGCCTGCGGCCCCAGCACCTCAGGGCCCGTCAGGGAGGCCGAGGAAACACCCCCTCCCCACCCCCCCACCCCCGCTGGACTCACGTGCCCAGGAAGGGCCGGTGCTCGGCTGGGGTCGTGCTGCAGAGAGGAGCCGGACTTGGAGACGGGATGCGGTGTGCACACATGCAGACACGCATGCACACACTAACACAGACACAGGCACATGCCTGCACACACATACACACGCTCACGTGGGCCCCAACAGTCCCAGGGCAGCCTCAAACGTCCGCGACTTCACAGGCATGAAAGTTACAAGCCGACAAGAAGCCTCGCGGGAGAGCTCACTTATTTAAGTCTCTCCTGCGCTCCCACACTCCCCACACCCTCCCCCTGCGGCAGCGGCAGCGGCGTGGGTTCTGGCCGACCTCTCTACCGCTGCAGGTGTTTGGTTTCAGCCACCACCGTGTGCCGTCTTCGGGCAGAGGGCGGGAAGGCCCAATGGCAGGCGAGCTGCGTGCGACACGGAAGGGGCCGCGCCCACAGTGGGCCTGCCTGCGGGGAGCCCAAGGTCACGTCGCAGGGGCGACGGCTCACACGGCACCGCTGCTCACCCAGCCTGCGGCGCTGGCTGCTTCTAAAAATCTCACGGGGGCGTCCCACCTGCGGCCCACCGGCCTGATGCACCCCAGGACGGCCAGGAATGTGGGCCAACACAAAATCGTGACTTTACCTAAAACCTTTTTCTTCTCACCCGTGTTCGTTAGTGTTTGTGTGTTTAACGTGCGGCCCGAGACAACTCCTCTTCTTCCCGTGCGGCCCAGAGACGCCGAAGGTGGGAGAGCCGTGCTGGGTGAGGGCGTTACTTGTCTGTGCCAGTTCCACTCCATCTCCGTAGAAACTCACTCCCTGCCCTGTCGAAGGTCCCGTGGCTCTCGTCCCGTCTGCTGCCGTACCAACCTCCCCCGCAGACGGCTCCGTCCACGCAGCATCGGCCTCGCGAGGGGACACCGCTGACCCTGCTGAACCACCCAGACCCGGGCCGAGCCCCGTGCGGAGACGCTCACCGAAGGCAGTCCCTCCCCCAGCGACACCGTGGGCTGGTGCTCACAGCCACTCCTCCGGCCCACCGGACGCCGGCCGGCCGGCCGTGAGGCCAGACCCTCTCTCGGACACGGCGGCTCGGTGAGAACCACGACCGCCTCGAGCACGCGGACCGCCCGGTTTCCTCCGGGGTCTGTCGAGTGCATCCCCGACCAGGGCTGGCCGGCCCCCTCGTCCATTCCCCTGACCCGCCGGGCGCCCCCACTCAGAAAAGCCCGGAGAGGGGCAGCGGGTCACAGCTCTGCGGTTTGTGTTCTCCGCCACGGAACCGAAAGCGACAGTTGTGCAAACCCGCAGACAGGTCGCAGAACAGAGCAACAGAAACCGGTGTACTCATCGCTCCGGTTCAGACAGACGCTGCACAGGGTCAAACAACACCTGTGGCGGGATGAATTGTGTGTCTCCCCCCGTCCCCCACTAAAAGCGATGTGTACACGGAGGCCTGCGACTGCGACCTTATTTGGAAACGGGGTCCTTGCAGGTGGAACCGAGTTTGGACATGAGAAAGGCGGGCCCAGACTCACTAACGGGGGTCCTGAGGAGAAGAGGCAGATTTGGGCGCACAGAGAAAGCCGTGCAGGTGTCGGGGCAGAGGTCAGGGCGACGCTGGGACAGGCCCAGGGACCCCGAGATCGCCAGCAGCCCCCAGGAGCGGGCAGGGCGGAGCGAGGGGATCTTCCCAGAGCCTTGGGTGGGAGCGAGGCACGGCCCGGGCCTCGCCCCTGGGCTTCTGCCTGCAGAACTGTTGTTAGAGAGCCCGTCTCTGCGGCTCTGCCCCCCGCCCCTCCATGTGCGGCACTTGGTTACAGCCGCCCCAGGAAACCCGCGCCTCCAAGCGGAAACAGTAGGCTGTGTCAGGGTGAGGAGCACTTGGGAACTGGTGGAAGCAAAGAAACACAGACAGACAGACAGAAAGAGGAGGACGGACACTCAGACTCCTGAGCAGGGGCCAGCCCGCAGCGGGAGGTGGGGGGGTGAAGGAACTGGCCCAGCCCGCTTCAGGGTGCTGGTGTGGAGGCTGGGGCCGGGCAGTGGGGGGGGAGGGGGCGAGGGGGGACATCAGCGACAGACTTGCCACCAAGGAGGTAACCCTCCGTCCCTCCCAGGTCCGAGGGAGGTGTTTCCCGACAAAACCTTGCCACGTGGTAATGGCAACAAATCGCCAGCGTGTCCACTCCTCACCGGTACAGAAGCAGGACCGTGCGCAGTTTCCGGTCTGCACATTGGCATGTTCCTAACGGGTGTCTCAACCTCCCAAATTAGACGGCGGCCCCGCCGGGGGCGGCGCTGCTGGCCTGCCGCCTCGGTCTATAATTGTGCCGTAGCCACCGCCTCCGAAGGTGCTGAGACGCCGCTCGTGGATGACGGTGTCGCTGAAACAGTTCCATTCTGAGCTGGGAACAGGAAGGTGCCCCCTCGCCCCCCCCGGGAAAACTGCGGGGAGGAAGGAGGCTCTCCGCCGTGTCTCCTATCGATCCGGCCCCGGGGAGCCGCGGGGCCACGGGTCCCTTGATGGACAGCTTGTGGCTGGAGAGCCTTGCGCGTCCCAGCAGTCATTAGGGGGGCACATGACTGCCGGTCCCCGCTGGGGGCGGGGTTCCCTCTGAAAGGCGGAACGTAACCGCGCCGCCTGGCGGCACCGGCCGCAGCCCGGGGCCCCGGAATCCGGCGCGGCTGGTGGGGGCACATGTGTTCTGCAGACGCGTGCGCCCCCGGCCGACGCGCCCCTGAGGAAGCCGCTCTAGATCAAGCCAGCGCGGCCTCCGCGTGCAAACAGCGTTTAGCCAGGACCGCTGAGCGGGGGGACGTGACGCTCAGTGCGCTTTTGCAGGGAGTCCGGCTCGAGTGCATTAGCTCGGGGACGTGCCGCACACGTGACCGGAAACCGCAGCGGTCCCCGTGGGAATCCGGTCTCCGGGTTGAGTTCACCCGAGGAAAGAAAGTCTCGATTTAGATTCTACCCCGCCCCCCCCGCCCCCGCACCTCCCAATGCACGTGTCTGTTTTAGGGGCCGGGAGGGGGCCCTGTCACTCAGCAAACTCCCTTCACATCAAGACACCGTGAGGGTGCATCCGCCAGGGGAACCGCTTGACGTGGGCCAGGTGCCCTGACACGTGTGTGCCCGACACGTGTGTGCCCGACACGTGTGCCCAACACGTGTGTGCGCGTGTGCACTGCTGGCCCTGCGGAGAGGCGGATGCAGAGAGAGAGAGGGATCGTGCACATTCTATTCAATGGAAAAGGATTCCAGCAGGAAATCGCAGGGGCCTTCCCGGTATTTTTCTGTTGGGTTTTCAGAAAGCCTGCATCCCGCGCCGTCAGGAGGCAAAGCCCAGCCCAGGCCTCCCCGCCCCGGGTCTCCCCGGGGGCGGGACCCAGATCCGGGGCTCGGGAGCCCAGGCCGACCCTACTGGTGGGGACCGAGCCGCACTCCAGTCCCAGGCGGACGGCCGGTTTTCTGTATCAACGCGGCAAACAGGGCTTGCGTTTCGGAACGCATCTGGTCTCCCCGACCATCCTGTCAGAAGCAGCTACTTTCTGTAAATGGAAAATCCAGGCCGTTTACTGATTTCAAAACTAGGCCGTCGGCTCGTCCGCCAGGCCCCAGCCCCCAGCCCCCAGCCCCCAGCCCCTGTTCCGCGCGCTGGCCCAGCTGCCTGGCCTTGAAGGAGGGGTGGGCGGGGACTTGAGGGGTGGGCGGGGACTGACGTGTCTGACGTGTCTGACGTGTCTGCACAAATCGCTGCCCTCCAAGGGCAAGCGTATTAGAATAAAGACAGAACATATTTAGGAAAAACTTACTTAGAAGAGAAGGGTCACCTACCCAAGCCACTCGTCCTGCTAAACATTTTAACCAAAATAACTTCGATCTTTCAAACGACACATCTCTCTACTGCTGTGGGGCACTGGACGTTTCCACAGTTAAGGGGGAATCTTTCTTATTCTTACCCCTCCCGAACTCTCTGAGTCACTGATAAATGATGAAACCATTGTAGGACGCATGTGTAAATGCATGTCACTGGTGTGCACATATGTCTGCAATCTCGGCACGCCACCTGGATGGTAATCAGCGGCGTTCACCGCATCGCTGACCCGATTACGTCAAGTGCGAGATGTCGTGTCCCCGCGGCCAGAAGCTCGCTAACAGGCCTCATCTGCCTTTATCTAGGCCGAAGCTCACCATCACTTCGAAAACCCTTTCCAGCGGTCTAGAACTTGAATTATGCACCATTATGGGATATCCCTGTCATTAAAGTAGAAGTAAGATTTTCACGAAAAGGCCCCTGCAAAAACCTTTTCCATGACGCTGCTCAAGACGCTGGGACAATTCAGTGTCAGAAAAGGTGACTCCCCAGTCACAGCCTCTGCCACTCGTCGCCTGAGACAACTTTCTTCACGTTTACTGACTTGCCCCTCCCCACATTTCCGCTCCACTGGCAGGAAGCCACGCTCCTCCGCTGGGCCCCTCACGGGGGGCGGTGACATCAGATTCTGAAGCATTTAGAAGAACAGGCAACACAAGGAGGCCCCTGGAAGGGGCCCCTACAAACCCACCCGGCGATTGTAGGATTGCGTGTCTCTCAGGCACAAACATTGAGGAAAATACGCGATTAAAACAGTAGAAATCCACACCACGGTGTTCTGGGGAACATCAATTTAGTTATTAAATGGGTATAAATTAGCCATCGGTAATTTACCCTTCTAAGTGATTTAACCTTCCCCATTATCATTTCATCTGTTTTCCATAAAAAAAAAAAATCAAAGAGACCCGAGCCGCGGGAACGCCGCGCCGGGCCGGGGTCTGAAACTGATTTGGTGGCTTTGGAGCTGACATCAGCCCGGCCGGGCACGGCTCGCTTCGGAAAGCTGCCTCAAATTTCCCTTGGTTTTGAACTTTTTTTTTTTCCTTACCACTTTCATCTAGCAAGAAATCATCCTGGTAACGGAACTTCTCTGGTCCACATGCAATAAAAATGTCATCGTCACCAAAAAAGTCCTGAAGGCACATCACCTACAAGAGAAAAGCATGGCAGTCAGCAAGGGGTCAGCGCAGGGCGGTCGCACCGACGCACCGGCCGGCCCGCGCCGGCCCGGCCACTTCCCGCCCCGCCCCGCCCCGTCCCTGGCCAGGGCCGACCTGCCCACCTCTCCCGGGGGCTTGCAAAGCCAGGGCTCTGGCATCTGGTCCCAGCAAGAGACGTGTCCCGATGCACTGGCGCGGGAGGGCGGGAGCAGGACAGCAGGCCCTCAAACCGGCACATTTTACTACGCGATAGACGGACAGGCTCGGAGAGCAGAGCCCTTTCCCTTCACGGCACAGGGAGCGTGGCAACACGGGGGAGAGCAGCGCCCCTTTACTCCCCGGAACGCAAGAGGCCCCCAGACCCACAGAAGTCGGCTCGTGGTTTTCAGCCACAAAGATGTTCTTGAGTAGCTGGTGCCGCCCTAGGTGCCGGGTGGCGGCCACACAGGGCGACCACGGAAGGAAAAGAGTGCTGTCGTGATGTGAGTGCAACGATGTCCCGTAAACCCTTCCACCTCGAGCTGAAACGCAGATGGAGCCTTCCCTGGGAGAGGGACGGACAAAGCCCACTCCCGCTGGGATTCAGGCACGCCGGCCGCGACCGCAGCGTGCCCACCCCTGCAGCAGCGACGCTCAGCGTAAGTGACTCACGCTGCCCGACCTCTCACGGTCACAGGAAGGGGAAGGTTTGAAACCACCTTCTGATGCGTGTTCAACTTTCTGGGCCCCATTAAGAACTTGGGGAGCTGAGCGCCATTTCCCCACTAAGTGTGGCCAAAGGAATAATTCCAGGCATCCGGCTCTCTGTCCCAGGCTACGTGACGTGATGTTTTGTTCGCCGTGTGTCCTGCCAACACGAGGCCCCAGGGACACTGCTAATTCCGACCTTGTTTTAGTATCTGATGACCCTTTGGAGCAAATGCCCAAGTGGCTGGCAGGAAACGGTCTTCTGACAGCATTTCCCTTGGCTGCCTGAGGACCAGCGTCGAACCTTCCTGGGGCGTCCGGTCCTCCTGCCCCTGTTTAGCACACCCCCTCCACCTCATCTGTCTGTGGCTTCGTGTGCAGGGTCTCTCTGGGGTCCGCCCTTCGTCAGCTCTTGGTGATGCTTCCCTGACGCACCGAGGGGCTGCAGGACCTTACTTAAAGGCCCCCCATGGGATGGTGTGTGGGGGTCAGGAAGTTCTCCCACTTAACCTCTTACTCCCACACAGTCTCCTGGCTGAAGTTCTGAGAATGGAATTTCTACAACAGTTCGACAGTAAACACTAAGTGAGGTCCAACTGTGATCCTCAGAGCTTACTCTGCCTGCGAAAGCCTGGTGACAGAGGGGACTTCAGGGGGACGTTGCAGTTATCGGGGAAGAAGGGCCAGGTCCCCAAGAGCGGTGTCTGAAGCTACGATCTCGTGCTCCGGTTAGACACTGGCCCCGTGCGTTCCGAACCCACTGTCGGTTTCACCCCTCCCTTTCGGCTCGATCCCAGCTGCGACGCCATCCGCCGTTACACCCCCGTCGCCGCTGCCGCCCTGGCCCGCTTTGGTGTGGCCTTACCCACCCCCCGCAGGGCATTTCCATGTCGCCTGCCTGGGTCTGTGCTGCGCCCGCGCGTGCCAGCTGGCACGCAGCCTGTACGCGCACAAAGGAGAGGAAGACCGGGTCTCTCCTTGGGGTGAAGAGGTGAACAGTCAACCCTGAGGAGCAGTCTCTCCTCACGTTCAAGTGCGCGTGGTCAACAGGCTTTGTGCAAATCAGCTCGGAAAATACTGAGTGCACCCGATAGCGACAGGTTTCTTTATATCTGGTCTCCTCCTCGAAATGCTCGCCGAGCGAATGTCCAGTGCATCACAACTCCGACACGGACGGCAGGGGGGGCGGGGGGGGGTCTGGTATTTTCCGAACCCGTCTGACTCTGGACTCTCCCCTCACACGGCAGCCCGGGCGCCCAGAGGCGAGAACCCTCACCCCCTCTCCTCCAAAGCGGCCACCTGTCTCCAGCTACTTGCTATCTATTTTTTTTCCCCTTTTACTCCTGCAGACATGCAGCACGAGCCTACTCCGTGCCAGGGGCGGTGCGAGCAGCCAGCGGCAGCTCACCGCTGGGCGAGGAATACGCTGTTCTCCAGAGGGAAACTGTCCTTTCCTCCCAGGCCTCCCATCCCCCCGGTTCAGGACACCCGACTGCCAACCTCACCACCTGCATGCAAGCTCTGAGCTCCGGCTAAGTGGACGGATGACCACCGCAGGGCGGGGTGCCCGGAGGTTTCCAGTGGCGAGCACTGGAAACGAAGTCGTTATTATTACTTATTAATCGTGGTATTGTTTTCCAGACAGACAACGGTCCGCCTCCATCGGCCCCACCCTGTATCGTCAGAACTCGAACACTCGGGAAGGGGAGGGGTGCTGGCCCACCCCAGCCGGGACCGGGGACCCTCCTCCACGCCGGAGATGCAGAGAACAGACAGCCGCCCCCCGGGACCGTGCCGGCGGGGGGGGGGGGGGGGACGGTTCTGTCGGGAAGCGGGCGATGAAACACGATGAGCGTTTGATGTTGCCTCCACAGCCAGTGTTCCGAGGACATGAAAGGCACGCGGAGACTGTTGGGGGGCAGCGACTGTCATCGCCCGGCACGAACAGACATGGAAAACCCATTCCGGTCTCAAGCAACGTGCATGCATGCACTTAGCCCTCCGGCTGCGGGACGCAGAGCCAAGAATGTGTCCAGCTGTCGGAAACGTCGAGGCTTCCCGGACCCTCTGCTCGGGGACCCTCCACCACCTCCCTGCGCGCAGCCCCTCCCGGGGAAAGGGGGCGGCCCGTGGGGGAGACTCAGACTCACAAAGCCGCCCCTTGTGGGGCGACCTGGGGAAAGATCTGCCGGCGGGGGAGCCGTCAACACCGGGTCGCTATCGAGACGGATTGAGCCTGGCCTGTGCCGCCACCTCCCACGCTCTCTCCCGGGTCTGCAGTGGCCTCGGTGCAGGCCGGCTGGCAGAAGGAGTCACAGAAGAACACTGGGACCCCCTTCCCCGGGCCAGCGCCTGTCGGCCCGGGTGCCGCCAGCATTTGTAAACCGTGCGGCACCTGACCGTTTCCTCAGGGCCGCCGCCGCCCTCTCGCCCCTCGCACTGTCAGATAACGACACGGTGCCAGCCCACACGACAGGAGCCGTCCGGTGTGAGTGAATCAAAGTCAGACCTATTTTGGGGGGTCAGATTGGCAACAAGTATATATTTGGGGGTGTGGCACAGAATTTTAGTAATTCGTCCATGTGCCACGAGAGAAAAAGGTTGGACACCGCTGCTGGACGCCGATGCTTTGAGGACGTCCCCTTCGGCGTCACTGGGCTTCACCAGCAGACTAGGGAAGGGGCGGGGACGCAGCACCCGTTTGCGCCGCGGTCCGACCCTGCACGTCCATGCGGGGCTGTGCCTTCGTGAACCTGAGGCTCTCAGGACCCAGTGGGACAACCAGCCTGGAAAGCTAAGCTCCTCCCTGGCTGCTGTGGCTCGCTCAGCGATTGAAAGCAGGCTGCGAACCAAAGGGTCACAGGCCTGGGTTGCGGGCCAGGTCCCCCATAAGGGGCGCATGAGAGGCAACCACACACTGATGTTTCCCTCTCCTCTTTCTCCTTAAGAGAAAAGAAGAAAACAAAAGATAAGTTCCATTTACGGATTAAAAGCACAAAAAGCGTGCTCCCTGTGACAACGGGACAGTGACAGTTTGACCGACTTTCAGGAAACCCCTGCTCGGTGGGCGCCAGGTGCTGGGAGCACCCGCCGAGGTCGGACACAGGGAAAGGGCGCAGGCACCGGCAGCGGGTTTGGGGGGGAGAGAGCCCCCACGCGGGGGAAGCGGCGGGCTCCTCTCCAAGCTCTCCCGCTCACCGCCGCCGCCCCTGCCCGTGGAAGGGTCTGCACTGTGTCCGAGGTCTCCCTGGGGCTACGGATCCTGCCTCTGCGACACTCTCAGGTCCAGGCCTTGCCCCGCCCCCTTCCCTCCTCCCCCGTCACCGCGTCCATCCAGGTCCCATCTCCTACCTGCGGACCTTGGCCTCCTCTCAGGAACTTTCTCGCCTGACCTCTCTCTGACCCATCCTGTTTCACTCTATCAATCTGCTCTTCTCAGTTAACTTTCAGAACCTCTCTCCACGGCTCAGAAAAACGCCTCTGGTAAAGTTCACTTTCTGAGTGGGGCATTCTGGACTCCTCGACACCTGGTGCCAACCTGCCTCTCGTGTCGACAGTCACTTCAGCCGTGACAGGGCGCCTGATACTGAGTAAGCCTTTGGTGGATGGATGGAGGGAAGGAGGGAAGGATGGAAGCAAGGAAGGAAGGAGGGAGGGAGGGAGGAAGGAAGGAAGGAAGGAAGGAGGGAAGGAGGGAGGAAGGAAGGAGGGAGGGAGGGAGGAGGGAAGGAGGAGGGAGGGAGGAGGGAGGAAGGAAGGAAGGAAGGAGGGAAGGAGGGAGGAAGGAAGGACTATATTCTAACCTGAAACACTCTCCAACGTACCCTCTTTACTTAGACTTTTCAGCCAAGGGACTTTCTGTCCTCCTTGTGTGATTTCCGGCTGTTCCCCCAGCAGGCATCTCCTACCCACCTCTGCCTGACCGTCTCTCCGCTCCAATCCGAAGTGACCCCCACCCCCCGCCCTGCAGCTGTGAACGCTGAGTCCCCGTTCAGTAAATGCTCACTGGCCGCGTCATTTGCCAGCCACTGTGCCAGGCCTCGAAAATACAACGGCCCTCATGTGCCCCTTCTTTTCCAGGACATGTGCCCCTGGGGGACTCCTGTCGCCCGCTGCGAAGGAGCGGCTCAGCAGGGGGCCACGGGCCTCAGCTCCCTGTGGTTCTGTCTCACGCCCGGAGGCCGGGTACTGAGCTGCAGCCCCATGCTCTGCTCCACCACGAACGCGGCCCCCAGGAAGCCCCCGCCGGCTGCCTTGAAACGGGTCCTGTTTCCGAAGGGTCCTGCACCGTCTCCCGCCGG